CCCCTAAACCCTAAACCCTAAACCCTAAACCCAAAAATTCCGGCCATCATGGCCGGTGGCAGGCTGCCGGACCCCCACCACCTTCCTCCTGACATCAAGGCGAGCACATCCCTCCCAAACACCCTCCTCGGTTACGTCGTGGCCTTCGATCCTTTAGTTCTGGGCAGCCATGGCACTCCAATCAAGTTCCAACAGCTTCCTGACGTCCCTGCGATTCCAACGCGACCGGTCTTGGTCGATTTGGTTGCCGGAAACGTGAGATCGCCGCTGGGACCCGAGCCGCCGGTTTCCGGCGGGTTTGTGTACAATCCGGCCACCGCCGGTCCAATTGACGTCGCGGAGCATCCTCAAATCCTTCCTGGCACTTCCTCGCATGACAAGGAATCATCAATTGCAGCTTTTGATGGCGAATCGAAGAAACCCCCAATTTTGGATTCTAGGGTTTTTCCAAGTCTAAAATCCTCAATTCGTGACGTTCGAGGCCAAATTGGGAAAAACGGAATGGATATTCGAGATCCTCGTGAAAAATCGGTTCGATTGGCGTTGGTCCCGCCCGATTCTGCTCCGGTTGATTTTCCAGCAACGACCGCCGGAGCTCCGCCGCCGCCGGCGGCGGCGGCCACCGTCAAACTTCTAGAAGCTCCAGTTCCACTCCCTGATTCCAAAAAGCATACTCCCAGCCTCGCTCAAGTGGTTTCGGCTTCAAATCGTATCAAAGTTCCTACGCCCGTTACGGAGCCACTTCCCGATCGTGAGGTTACCATCCATCGTGGTATGCCCGCAATTCGTTTCAGGCAATCTGAGGTCAGCCAATTATCTCGCATTGACAAATATATTTTAGTTGGCAAGTTCTCTCATGGGCAACCCAAATTGGAGGTAATTAAGCACTATTTCTCTACTCATTACGTCTTTCGTGGAATTGTGTCTGTTGGATGGAGAGATTCGAAGCATATTTTTATTATGTTTTCCAATTCCCACGATTGCACAAATATATTACTTGAAGGCACCATTATTTTCAATGGGTTACATCCTATGCGTTTATTCCGATGGAGACCTGATTTTGATCCGGAGTATGAGACCTCATTGTCACCTGTTTGGACTTCCTTTTATGGTCTCCCTCTGCATATGTTCAATTTTCATGCGTTGTCCTTGATCTGTAAACCCATTGGAAAATTGTTGGGTGTGGATAGTGTCACTTTAGCTAAGGCAAAACCACATGTGGCCCGGGTTTGTGTTGAAATGGATTTACTTCAGCCTCGGTTGAAGGAAATTTTTGTGGGTACCTCGGAAGTTGTGGGTGATGAAGATTGTGGTTTTGTCCAGCCGGTAGTGTACGAGAAGGTTCCATATTACTGTGATTACTGTTTGCGACAAGGCCATTCTCTTGTAAGATGCAAGCTGAAGGATCCCATTTCCCCAACTCCTAATCTCCCTAAAAAGCCCACATCTCCAAACCCAGTTCCCCATCCCAAACCCACGGCCCAGCCAAACCCTCCTCCCAAACCCATAATTCCTAAGCCCAAAGCTCTTTTTCCCAATCCCAAGGCCCTAACTTATGTTCCTAAAGCCCAAAAATCCACAACCCAAGCTCCTTCACAAAAAATAAATAATCCCCCGGCCCAAAACCCAAGTGATCCGCAGCCTTCTCTCCAACCCGTCCCACCCGTCCCAAAGCCCAAACCCATTTCGGCCCAACACCCTGTCCCACCCGCCAACAGCCTAATTCTCCAACCCCTCCAGCCTGCGGCCCACCCGGCGCCTAAGGCCCAACCCCTTNCAAACCCCAATCACCATGGCCCAACAACCGCCGGCCCAAACCTTTTCCCCTCAACCCAGCCCAATCCCGCAGCCCTTAGCCCAAACCCCAAACCCGGAACCCACCTTAACCCTTAACCCCAAGCCCACTACCTCCAGCCCACAGAAACCCGCCAGCCCCATTTCCCTAACCCAAAACCCGCCAGCCCGCACCCCCCAAATCCAAAATTCCCCTAGCCCATCCCTCGGCCCATCTCCCAAACCCAAAAAACCAAGCACTCCGCCTTCAAAACCCACTTCTGACTGGCAGGTAAAATCAGGTAAAGGTTCTAGACTTCCCACTTCGGAGGAATTGGAATTTCTTGAGACATCTGATGAACCTGAGGAGCCTGTTGCGGATCTTGAGTTTGATGCCTCCGCCCTCCCATTTGCTTCTACTGATATTGACTTAGGGAGGAGGAGGGAGAAAACCCCCCGTACTCCTGCGGTCCGTACTCCCTTGGTCTGCACTTTGAATCGCTCGGCCAACACCATTCCTTCGAATAGGGATTTTGGTGTCCACTATCCTTCGTACTGTCAGGATCCCGGTCCTTCGTACCAGGATGTGGATGTCGTCCGCTATCATTGTGATGGTCGTAGGTACGGTGAGGATTCCGACCTTTCAGATGAGGAGGAGGATGACTTGATCTGGGAGGATGAGCAGGAAGACATACGCTATAATTTTGAGCCCAAATCCAAGGTTAGATACTATGGTAATGATCTTCAGCCTTTTCAGCGGGACCTAGAGGCGGCTGGGTTGTCCCCGCCGCGGAACTACAGAAAGACACGCTCGAGATACCGGGATTATGAGGAGCGGTTCTTGGGCTGATCTACTTTCCTGGGAGGCTGGACTGGGTAGCCGGCACTGCTTTTGCGTTCTATCATTTCTGCTACCTTGTCCTTTAACTTTGGCAGTCGGCTCTTCTTCACTGTTATATTTATTCTGCTGTCTTAGTCTGTATTTATTTATTTATTTTTACTGCATTTCTTTTCTGGTGAGTTGGAGACTTGTTCCTTCCACCAAGACTCTTTTATTTTTGCGAATAAATGTTAAATTTTTTTTTTAAAAAAAACCCTAAACCCTAAACCCTAAACCCTTAACCCTAAACCCCTAAACCATAAACCCTAAACCCTAAACCCCTAAACCCTAAACCCTAAACCCCTAAACCCTAAACCCTAAACCCTAAACCCGCGCATCCCAAGCTCTGGCGAAAATCGGCGCCCCAAGCTCTCCAACGGCGATCTCCTTTTTCCGGCCAATATGGCCGGCCAACGGCCACCGGACCCTCCCCAGCAACCTCCTGACGTCCAGCCGGTTCCAACGAGCCTCTACACGTCGGAAACAACCACCGGGAATGCCCCCTCTGCTGCTGCGATTGTAGCTTCCCAATCGCCATTTTTTCCGGCGTTCTCCAGCGATGCACACGTCCTTAGTGCCTTCCAATTTCTTCCTGGCAGTGAGGCGATCACAGGGAGCCAATTTTCAGATGCAGCTGTCTCCAGAAGCACCTGCATGCAATCGGCGACCATGGCGGGTCTGTCAACCGGGTTGCCTCCTATTCCCCTGGTTTTTGCTCCACCTAGTGTCGCGCACACATTCCAACCTGTTCCCCAGGTCCATACGACTGCAACAAGCTCTTCTCCCACTGTTTTCATGCATGGAGGTCCTAGGTCAGTCACTGATGCATTTGCGGCAATAATGGCGTCTCAATCTTCTAACTCCCTCCCCCAGATTGTGCAGCCCTTTGCAGGCCTTTCTACACATCCTATGACTACTATGGTGCCTATGCAAGAGGCCTTGAACGTGGGACACAATGCTGTAGCTTCCATAGCTCCTCCTCATACCTGCGCACCAAGTGTTTGTGAAAATGCCCCAACGGAAACTCCTTCAATCCTGGGTGATTATTTGAAGGTAAAAGTACCTATTACTACTCTTAGTCACTGCAACTGGAAGGATATTGATGGTGCTGAGCTTAAAGGCCTTTTTGGAGATGAGACTGCCATGATGCATGTACCTTTGTCATCCTTTTCTCAATATAAACGGCTCAACATGCAAGGGGCTGTTATACTTGCATTAATGGGGCAGAATGGGACTGCATATGGGGAGTATCCAGCTGGTGAAGTGCTTCGTCCCATTACCCAGCCCCATTTATTCCAACCTTTCGATCTTGCGTTCCCCAAACAAAAAGAGGCACGGCTTGCACAAGGGGCTGCCACTAAAGGTTCTTCCACGGATAATGCAGCTACTGTTTTGGTATCCACTGCCATGACAAGTATTTTAGGCCCTGGACCACATCATGCAGCCCCTACAATGCAGACTATTACGCCCCATGCACGGCAAGGAGGAGATAAAGGGGTGTCCTTTGCCCCTACTTTGGACCAGCCTAAAGAAAAGCACGGCATGATTTCTCAAAAACTAGGGGCTGTTTCCTCGGCAAACACGACGGCCATGGCCACCAAGGCAGTGGGTCCTTCGCATAATGGTATGGCAGTGGCTACGGCTTCCCATGGTGCCCGGCCAGGAGGACCACCCAACGCACCCACGCTTTCCTTTGCACAGGCCGTAGCAGGATCTTCCACCCCAGGTATCTCTTTACGGGCTAATGTTTCCCGTCCTTGCGCTATTTTATCCAATGTGGTCGTTGAGGAGAAAGTCCCTACTTTTCATAGAGGTACACCTGCTGTTGTTTTTAAGAAATCGGAAATGCAACAACTTTCTCAATTGGATAATTACCTTTTGATTGGAAAATTTTCTCATGGTCGTCCTGAAATTGCCATTTTGAGGAAGTTGTTTGCTGCACAGTTTATTCTTAGGGAGTCTGTTCAGATTAGTCATCGTGACCCACGCCATGTTATGCTGTTATTCATTCATCCCCAGGATTGTAATGATATTTTCATGCAAGGGCAGATTCAGTTCAACGGACAATTTCCCATGAGACTGTTTAGGTGGTCCCCGGAATTTAACGTTAAAACTGAATCCTCCGTTGCGCCGGTGTGGGTGACGTTTCCTAATTTGCGGGCTGATTTGTTTAATGAAAGTGCTATCCACCAACTTTGTAAGCCAATCGGGAGGTGCTTGAAAGTGGACGTCGCTACGTCCAATTTCACACGTCCCAATGTGGCTAAGGCTAGGGTGGAGATTGATTTGTTAAAGCCTAGGATCGAACAGATATGGATTGGTTTCTCTGATCCGCCTGGCGAGGAGGATGTGGGTATGTTCCAGCCTGTGGAATATGAACGCATCCCAAAGTACTGCACGACCTGTTTTAAATAGGGTCATGACAATTCTTCGTGCAATACTTTGACTCCCAGTCAGTCTGATCAGAGGACAGTTGTTGTGGTTCCCCAACCTTCCACGGCTGCACCCACGAATACCCAACTTCCTCGACGGAGGCGAAGTAGGAGTCGGGTCAGACGTCAAAGGGAGGGGAAAGGTATTGTTCTTGATGATGCAGGTGCAGGTGCAGGTGGCTCCCATAGGGAGGAGTCGCAGTATGTTTGGAGAGAAAAGACAGTGAAAGGATCCAGACCTATTGAGGTCGTGGATGTCGATGGTTTAGGTAAGGGGGAGGGACCCTCATCTAGCTTGCAAGCCTTTGTGCCCACTTCTTCGCATCCCTCCCCAAATGTTGTTATACCTGATGCTAGTTTAGCTCCTTCTTCTGTTAACGCCATTGTTCCCACACCTGTTGTGGTTGAACAGTCAACGTCTCTGACTTTAGAGCCATCTGTTCCTCCTACCGGAGTTGAGCCAGGCTCCATTGTTGCTTCACTTCCTCTCTCTACTTCTTCTTCCTCTCCTATTGTACATGTTCTCGATCCTCAACCTCCAGAGCTGGCTCTTGCTATGTCTAACACTTTTGATGCTTTGGGGGAGATGCTTGGGGACAGTCATGAGGTCTGTGGCTTTAATACGGCTGCATCTTCCATTCCTTCCAATTCGGTGAGAAAGGAAGATGACGAGTGTAGCTCGCAGACTAGTGAAGGGTCCACAGGTGATCATTTTGAGGATCCGACTGACATTGCCCGGGATCTTGCAGCGAGTGGCCTTTCCCCTGCAAGGGAGGCGCCAACTACTAGGGGCAAGTCGGCTAAGAACGCCCGAAAAGCAACTGAGCATAAGACGGGGGTGATTCCTGCTCCACGCAGAGTCACCCGTTCCACTTCTTCGCGTTCCCAATGATGATGCGGTTCCTAGTTTGGAATGTGAGGAGCATCACCTCACAGAGTGTCCTTTCTAAGCTTCGAATTTTAGTGAAACAGCACACTCCAGTGTTGTTAGGTATCTTGGAGCCTATGAAGGCACCCTCGCAGATTGACTACTTTAGGACGTTGTTGGGTTTCATGGGAGCTAGGTGTGGTGCTGATGACCAAATCTGGCTCTTTTGGAACTTTGACATTGCACCGTCCATCCATTTTATTTCCCATTTTGCACAGTCGCTAACCTTTTCCTTTTCTCACCCTTCTTTTCCTAACCCTCTTTGGTTGTCAGTGGTTTATGCTAAATGTAAGTACAGGGACAGGGAGCCATTGTGGGAATACCTTAGAGAGACACATGCCGCTCTCCCGGCTGACATAGCATGGGGGGTGGTGGGTGATTTCAACTATCTGCTCGATCCCTCAGAGAAGAAAGGCGGCCGGCCGTATGCTCCAGTTAAATATCAGCCATTTGTTGAATGCGTTGAGGATTGTGAACTGGTTGATTCTCCTTTCTCTGGGGAGGATTATACCTGGTTCAATAATCGAGTGGGTGGCATGGAGATTCGGAGCCGGATTGACCGATTGCTTTTTAACCGGCCATGGATGGATATGTTTTCTTGTTTGGTGCATCACTTGGATAGAGTTGGATCTGATCATGCCCCACTGTTGGTGGAGTGTAAGTCTCATGAGCGTCCTCCTGCACGGCCTTTCACCTTCCTTAATGTCTGGACAGAGCACGAGGATTTTCAGAGAGTGGTGGCAGATTCTTGGCGGGAGGACATTGCTGGCAGTCCCATGTTCGTATTTAGTGCTAAGCTCAAGCGTCTGGCACATAGATTGAAGAGATGGAACCGAGACTCCTTCGGTCACATCTTTGACAGGCTTAAGGTGCTTGAGCAGGATGTTCGGGATATTGAGCTACATCTGCAGATAGACCCCTCGGATGAGACCTATATCGAGTTCAAGCGGCGTTCTGCACTTTTGAAGCGCCAGTATCGTATTGAGGATGAGTTTTGGCGATAGAAGGCCCATGCGAAATGGGTGACAGACGGGGAGAGGAACTCGGGGTACTTTCACTCTGTTGTGAAGGATCGCCGGCGGAAACTATACATTCACCACATACAGGATGATCGTGGGCAATGGGTTACGGAGAGAGCTGCGATTGCGACTCAGGCGATCACCTTTTTCCAGGCTATGTTCAGTGCTGATCCTAGTGTTACATCTTCGGCCTTAGACATGATTACACGGCTGGTCACTGATGCGGATAATGACTGGCTATGCGCTGTTCCGGAGTTGGAGGAGGTCAAGACTTCGGTCTTTGCTATGGATTCTAGGAGTGCAGCGGGACCTGATGGCTATACTGGGGCCTTCTACAAGGCCGCTTGGACGATCATTTGCATGGATTTATTAGCGATGGTGCAGGCTTTTTTCTTGGGCCACGATCTGACTCGTTCTCTCACACACACTTCTATTGTTTTGTTGCCCAAGAAGCCCAATCCTGTGACCTTTGCGGACTTTAGACCCATCAGTTTGTGTAATTACTGCAAAAAGATCATCACGAAGATTATGGTTGTTCGCTTGGCTTCCGTGCTCCCTCGGCTGCTCTCCCCGCATCAGAGTGGGTTTGTGGCGGGGCGCTCTATCACTGATAATATTCTTTTGGCCCAGGAGATGTGTCACGGGATGCGGGTGGATAATGAAGATGTCATTCTGAAGCTGGACATGATGAAGGCCTATGATCGGGTCTCTTGGTATTTCTTGATGTCGGTACTGCGCAGCTTTGGATTTTCGGAGACTTGGATCGATCTGGTCTATCGGGCCATCTCGAATATATGGTATTCAGTCATTATTAATGGGATTCGAGAGGGCTTTTTTCATTCGACGCGGGGCTTGCAGCAGGGAGACCCACTCTCTCCGTCCTTGTTCATTCGATCAGCGGAGGTCCTATCTCGCTCTCTGGCTCAGCTGTATACAGATCCTACAGTTGCTCGGTTTACACAACCTCGTGATGCACCGCATATCCATCATCTTGCCTATGCCGACGATATTGTCATCTTCACTTCGGCGAGGGGGGACACTTTGGAGAAAGTTCGAGCAGTATTACATTCTTATGAGCAGATTTCTGGACAGGCTGTCAGCCTCCCTAAGAGTGCCTTCTATATGCACCCTAAGGCGTTGGCACCCGTGTTGGAGTGTGTTAGAGATACTCTTGGGTGTTCGTTGGATGTGCTTCCTTTCACTTATCTTGGCTGCCCTATTTATCATGGTCGGAAGCGCATTCTTTATTTTGAGCCTGTTCTGAAGAAGATGCGAGACAAGTGCTGTGCGTGGATGGGGCGCTATCTTTCCCCCGGGGAGAAGGCAATTATGATTAAGAGTGTTCTTCAGGCGATCCCGACACACTTGCTCGCTGCACATTTCCCTCCCAAGACGGTGATACGAGAGATGGAGTCTATCATGGCACGATTTTTTTGGTCTGGTTTGGGAGGGACACGATGCTATCATTGGGGATCTTGGAAGACTCTGGCACGACCAACGAGGGAAGGTGGGGTCGGCTTCCTTGATTTCATGACTCTGGCTAAGTCTTGTTCGACCAGGCTCTGGTGGAATTTTAGGACGCAGGATTCTATCTGGACGGCTTTCATGAGGGCTAAGTACTGTAGTCGTGTCCATCCTGTGTCCAAACAGCGCCTTGATGATGACTCGCACACATGGAAGCGCATGCTAGATGTTCGAGCCGTGATTGAGCCTGTGATTCGATGGCGTGTACTCTCTGGCACGTCTAACTTCTGGTGGGATACATGGTCTGGACTAGGTGCCTTGCATCGCCAGGTCGATGGCTGCAGTGGGTACTGGACTGATGGATTGGGTGATATGTATCGCTCTAATTTTATGATTGACCATGATGCTCTACCCCCAGATTTATTACGGCAGTTGCGCCTTGAGCCGCCATCTCTTGTTTCTGATCATGTGGATATTCCGGTCTGGACCCCGTCTACGGATGGGAAGTTTACTCTTGCTTCTGCTAAGGAGCTTCTTAGACCGAGGAGGACTGATGAGGTGGAGGACACTGTGCTTAAGAGGTGTTGGCAGACACACTTACCTTATAAGATTTCCTTTCTAGCATGGCGCGTTTTGGAAAGGCGCCTTCCCACTGATGATGTCTTGGCGAGATTTGGCTTTGCATTGCCTTCTCGGTGCTTATGTTGTTCGCCGCCAGAACGGGAGACCATTACACACATATTCTATCATGGGAGCATGGCGCGGCGTGTTTGGACTTATTTCACAGAGTCTGCCCATATCCGGGGCACACATCACAGTTTGAGGTCCGTCTTGAGTAGATGGTGGGCGCAGAGGCCGAGGAGCAGGATGCTCTCGTTCCTGTTCCACCGCCTGCCGATGATTGTTCTTTAGGAGATTTGGACGCACTATGCTGCGTGCAAGTATGAGGATGCTCGCCCCAACTTCGCACGCATTATCTTTCGGGTGGCTACGGCGGTGTCGGAGTGCATCTTTCGTCGCTGGCCTAGAGGGGGTCTCTTACCTCCCCGATGGTCGGTGATCATGGAGCACGTTCGACGAGGCTCTAGACGCAGGAGGGTGGTGCCGATTCGGTGGGTCCCACCGCCGGGTGGCATCATCAAGGTGAATGTGGCGCGGGCCCCGCTTCGTGGGGCATATGCAGCGATCGTGCGTGACTCGACAGGTAAGTTTCTTTATGCTCTCTCTTCTATTGCATTCAGGTGGGACCCAGTGGAGCGTGGAGGGATGGACATGCTTCTTTGATGTATTCAGTGGTGTATATCCCAGTCCTTCTTGCGTATCCACATGGAGTCCCATCATTCAGAGTTAGCTTGCTTCTTTAGAGAAGGTACCCCGTGGTACCTTCATGATGTATATGCTAGACTGCGTTTCCTCTGTTCCATCGCGACGGTCCAGTGGTTTCATTGTGACGTGCGGGCGAATGGCCCGACGACTGAGTTGGCATTGTGGGCCGTGGATAGTACAGAGGGGACGCGGGAGTTTACTAATCTGCAGGATCTTGACATTCGGGTAAGATCTCTCCTTCCTATGGACGATCTGCCCTTCTTTCGCATTGATGAGGATGGGGGTAACCCCTAATTGCACTGATTTGGGTGCCTTAACGATCGCGTCTGCGGTTAAGAGGCGCACGTATGTACCCGCGGTTAAAGGGTGCCGTTGGTTCCCGCGGTTTGGGACCACGTGTTGTACCGACGGTGAACGGTGCCTCTGCGAGATGACGGGCGTAGTTTCGCAGAGTTTCTTTCGTCCCCGTCGACTCCTGCGGCTCCTGGGGTACGTAGGCGCTAGCGTCTGAGGTTTTTAGTGCCCGTAGTTGCCAGCGGTATTTGGCATCCTAGCCCGGGCAGAGGTGGCTGTCCGGTAAAGGCTTTTTCCATCTCGCACTTCATCTGAGTGCCTTAACGACCGCGCCTGCGGTCAAAAGGCACACGTACGCGTCCGCGGTAAAGGATGTCCGTCAGTGCTTGCGGATTGAGGATTTGAGCACCCGTGGCGCACACGGAAAGTGCGTATGCGTGGTACCGTCATCAAATCGGTTCCCTCGTCGGGAGGCTGGGTGGGGCCCGGCGAGGTTTCTTCCGCCTGCGTCAGTGCGTGCGCGCAAGGTTAGAGCACCCGCTATCTGTCGGCGGTAATGGGCTAAGGGTTGGCCACTGACCCATAGTGGTACCTCTTTCTCTTTTCGTTCTTCTATCCTTTTGGACTGCATTTCTAGGATCACTCTTCTTCTGGGCATTCTCATCATTTTGGATCTTTGGATTACATTGGATTTCACACATTTTGGACTTGGATATTTTACATGGCTAGACTACTTCTTGGATTAGGCCATTTCGGTTGGGCTGGTTTCGGAATTGGGCGACTTGGGTTTCGGCCGGACTTGGGCTACTACGGGCAAGAGACTAGACTTGGATTGCATTGGGCCGTGGCTGCTGAGCTTCGGTGGATGGGCTGCTCGGTGGTTTGGGCGACGCTGGAATTGATTACTTTGGGCTGTCTTTGGATTGGGACGAGCTGGATTGGGCTGCTTTTGGACTCTCATGGTTTGGGCCTTACATTGGGCTTATATTCTGGGCTCATCCCTCGCTCACTTGGATTATTTTTGCACTTTTATTTTTACTTCTTCTTTTTAGTTGGGTTTTTCTGGATTTTAGACTGGACTTAAGTCGATTGCATTTCTTGGCTCAAAACATTTTTCTTGATCTGGATTATCTGACCTTAGGCCTTACCCTTGAGGGGGTTGGGGCTCCGGGAATGATTTTATTCCTAGATCTTTTAGTGGAATGTTGTAGGCCGGCTTTGTAGTTGTACTTAAGTTTATGTTCCATATATCTGATAAGCTCCTCGCATTTTAGTTTTTTGGTTGTTGCTTACTGTTTATACAAGTGTGGAGCCTGTTCCCGCTTGTTCAGACGTTTGTATTCTTTGATTATTTAATAAAATGCAATTTTTTTTAAAAAAAAAACCCTAAACCCTAAACCCTAAACCCTAAAACCCTAAACCCTAAACCCTAAAACCAAAAAAAAAAACCTAAAACCCTAAAACCCTAAACCTTAAACCTTAAACCCTAAACCCTAGACCCTAGACCCTAGACCCTAAACCCTAAACCCTAAACCCTAAACCTAAAATCCTAAAACCCTAAACCCTAAACCCTAAACCTAAAATTCTAAAACCCTAAAACCCTAAACCCTAAACTCTCTTGATTCTTGTCAATCATTTGTGTGTGTTGTGTCTTTAATTCCCCAACACTCTTCATATCATTCCTCTTGGTGAAGCTAAATTTCATTAGAGTCACTCAGATCTTTTTAAACAGTAAAAGACTCTTTAAAGATACACTAAGAATGTGATATTCAACCAACAAAATAATAGATTAAAGATCAAGAATAAAGGCTCATAAGAGAGAGTGTGGGCAGATAAGCATATTAGAGGCCTAGAAGCATTGGACAAATTCTTTAATCGTGTAGCCTAATGCTTGGATGACCCAATGTGCCTAGTCAATCCAAACCTGACTAAAGAAGTTTTTATAAACATGACTTATGTGCTAAATGGTCTTCTGTAGGGGCCAAGTTATCCCTTATACATCAAAGATTTGTTCTTTAGTTCTACTCTCTATCTACTACTAGTTCTAAAGAATCTTCCAAAAAATTTGGTACTACAGAGAAAATATACATTCGAATACTATCAAAGTAAATTCTCCAAACATATATAACGTGTGTAGGCAACATTAATAGACAAAAACAAGAAGCAAAAAATTCTCTCTAAATATTTAATTTTTTTTTTACCAAAGATGCAAAACCAATATCAAGGAAATCGGGCAAGAGTAATTGAGCTTCATGAAACATGCAGAATCACTTACCTAAAAGAATTTAATAATTTTCTCATGTATAAGAAAATAAGGAAAAAAAACTCTATTCTAATTATTTTAATTTATGATAAAAAAATTTGTCAAATGTAACTAATGTTTTGTATAATTAGGAGTGGGTGTTGGGGTTTGTTGAAAGTTACATATACGTAGTCTTTCATGATTATGCAATTCAAATTTGTCAAATAGACTTCTCACATCTAGCCATCAATTTTTTTAAATTAGTTACCCAATATGGTTATATGTCTCACAATATCACATAATATTTAGCACTAGCATTTACCTAATAAATCAGAGATTATAATTGTCTGAGTAAAAAAAGTAACCAAAAATCCTATCATATGCAGCCTTGATTTGGCTCTTTATGTAAGACTTAAATAGTAGACATTTCTTTTTGGTTTATGCTCTTCGCCCTTTAGTCATTTTTAAATTTCAACTTGTACCTTTAATGTTTTTTTTGTTTTTCTAAACTCTAAACTTTTGCTTATTTATGTGTTTTTAACTTTTTATCGATTATTCGATAAAATAAAATATTTTTGTCATCACTTATTTTATAAAACTTTTAATGTAATATATAAATTACTCTCTCCGTCCGGAAATAATCTTCTCATTCTACTCTTTTTTCTGTCTGGAATTAATCTTCTCATTCTACTTTTTTTTCCCAACTCTTCCAAAAATACCCTCCCCTCCCATTCTTTATTTTTCTTCTTCCTTTCTTTTTTCTTCCTTCTTGCCATGTCCGCCACTCATCTCATTCTTCCATAACCCCCACTCTCTATTTCTTTCTCTTTTCTTTTTCTTCTTCATCTTTCTTCTTCTCTTTCCCGATCTATCCTCCTTCTTCTTCTCCCCTTTCCCCGATTTGTCCCCCATCTTATATTTCTTCTTTTTCTTTTTCTTCTTCTACTCCTTCCTTTCTTATAGATCTAAACAAATGTGTGCCTCATTCACCCTCCGTGCCTTCTTCTTCTTCTTTCCTTCCTCATCTGTCTTCTCTTTCTTCCAGATCCGCGATGGTGGGAGATGGCAGCTGTACGAGGTCTCGCGACTGTAGTTGGGGCTGGTGGCAACACAACTGCTGGTGGAGATGGTGCGGTTGGGGGCTGGGGTAGCAGAGGGGAGGTGGTGGCCAGCAGAGGGTAGTGGGGCGGCAGCGGGGTTGGGGCAGTGGTGGGGGGTTTGGGGTGTCTGTAGCCTGTAGGATAGTGGAGGGGGCAAAGCTAGGAGGGTATTTTGGACATTTTAATGTCATAGTCAACACTCACTAAAAATGAGTAAAAGTCAAACCGGGAAGATTATTCCCGGATGGAGGGAGTATAAGATATATTTCTTATTTATATACTGATCTTTAAATTAAATGAATTGAAAAAATATAAAATTTTACTTCATTTTACATAAAGTGAAAATGATTACGGGACAAGGAGAGTAATAAATAATATTTAAAAATGCACAATTATGCAATATGTTGTGTAAAATTAATTATTCTTACCCTGTAAACTTCATAGTCTTATTTTAGAAATAAAAATTTATAGTTTTAAAAACACTTCAAAATTAAAATTGTAACATTTTTCTAGTAACAATTTATTCTCTGAGGGAAACTTATACTAAAACATTTACAAGCCAAAAAGTTTAAAAACATAAAAAAAATATTTCTTTTTTAAATCAATGTTTTCAAAAAAAATTAAAACATCTTTTTTCTTAGGACAAATATCAAATTTGTTTCTTTTCCTCAACTTCTTTTATCTTTTCTAAATATAATTTTTGAGTTGATAGAAATGAAAAGAAACAAATTAGTTGAAAAAAACAAAGATGCTAGTTGAAAATCAAACGACAAAAGAAGGGTATTTTTAGAGGAAAAATATTCAAATAGAAGAAAAAAATTAAAAAGTAGCAAAATAGAAGAAATTTTTTATTCCCAAATTAAGAATATAAAAACAATGTGAAATAATAACATATAGTAATGCAAACTCTTATTTTGGAATAAAAACATGAAACTCTAGTGGTAATTTCTATTTGTTAATTTTTATATGTTTTTCTTCTATTTTGGGTGATTTCTTTATTTTTAAACATTAATAAAACAATAATACAAAAGAGTACAGTTATTAACCTCAACAAACAAAAAAGAGTGATACCAAGTATTTTTACAAAAACATACTCCCTCCGTCCAAAATTAAACTTCCCGATTTGACCGGGCACGCATATTAAGAAAAAGTGTAAATGTAGTTGACTTTCCCAAAATGTCCTCCCTCTCTCTTCACTTCTTTGGTCCCCCACTCTTCCCTACCGTCCCATATCTCCATGCACTGGCCAGGAAATACGCATCAATGCTCTGCCGTGTCACCTTCGACTGCAGCTGATGGGTAATAACCCAAGGATACCACCCAGTTGGTTCACCGAACAGCACGCGTCTTTTTCAGCCCGGGTTATTTGACCGGTTGGATGAGGAGACCAGACGCCAATACCCGAAGATCTACTTTCAAAGTGCACCTGGTGGGCCGGTCAGCCGCCTGACCGGTTGGATAATCAGAGACATGCTTGACGTGCTTAGAATTATTATAAATACCCTTAAAAGCCTCATTTGTGAGGCATGTTCTAATTAACCTACACGGCTTGTATTTGTAATAACTCCTATTATTCATTAATAACAAATCGGGTTACAGGTGATTCCACCTACAACCCTTCCGATTACTCACACTTAATATTTGCGTGGTAATTTACACCATCAAATTGGCGCCACCCGTGGGACCTATTACAAAAAAGTCATGGCCAGTAATCAGGAAACCGTGATCTCACAAATTTCTACTCCCGCTGAGAATGTCATTTCATTCCCGGGAGGAAGTTCCCAACCGTCAAGCCAGGTTCCTACCCCCATCATCACCATTCCACNCCTTCAAATTTCCCCGGACCCCTTGATCCAATGTACAGCCAGGCTCTTCAGAATTTTGGACATTTCATGTCCATGTTCCAGCAGCCGGGAGGGTTTTCACTTTTCAATCCGGGATTGTATCCACAATCCTCGCCTCAAACTAACGTCATTCGCCCGATCGTTCCGACAAACCTGATCGGGGAGATGGATAAAGCTGGTCCATCCCGGTCTAGAAGGAGCCGGTCCCGTAGTTCAAAGACAAAGGTGACCTCGGACGGGGATGTGCGTTCAGTGCACAGCAAAGACGAGGATTGGAACGTCCCCCAGGCGGTCAAGAAGTTGAAGGGAAAGGCAGTTCAGCCAGAAAGATCTAGGAGGTCGGCCTTTCAGAGACTTGGCCATCATGGCCGAAATCAGAACCGGTCAGCAAAAGAGCGGCTTGGGGTAGAAACCATTCCAGCTAGTGCCTTTAATCGTGCAGGGAGAGGAGCCGGACGACCTGGTCAGACCAGGCGAACGGAACCATCCCCACGCGATGAGCCCCAGCACAGCCGGGCACCACGAGAGGAAGAAGCCGAAAGCCACCCCAGGCACACGACCCGTTCACATGTTGAACAACCTCGGGATTGTGTGGGCCGGGTCGAGGCACGTCTGGAGAAACTACAACGCCGGGTAGACCGAGAAGAAAAGAAGAAGATTCTGCTGAACGAATCTCCGTTCACAGACCGGGTTCATGAAACACCATTTCCAAAGAAGGCGAAACTTGAAGTCCCGAAGTTCACCGGGAAGGAGGACCCGGAAATTCACGTCAAAACCCTCCATCAAAGTGGGCGGATGATGGGTCTTTCCGGGGATGAGAAATGTTTGCTTTTCTTTCAGACCCACCGCGGCCGAGCCGCCGAGTGGTTTCATAACTTACCAGCCGGTGAAATCGATTCTTTCGATGAACTGGCTGAGGTGTTTCAAGAAAAGTTCAAGGAAAACTGTACCAAGAGGAAAAAGTTTACCTACTTGAGTACAGCCGGGTAGCGAGAGCACGAGGATCTGACAAAATTCCTCACCCGGTGGAAGGATGAGGTTGACAAGGTGGAGGAGATGGACGACAAGACAGCAATGTCCCTCCTTGTATCCGGGCTCCGGTCCGGAGAACTATACAAAGAAATCTGCAGGAGGCCTCCCCAGTCCTATCAAGAGGCCTATAACACGGCCTGGGACTATGCTGACGCTGAAGCCCAGGTGTCATCCAAGAGGGAAGCCGAGCAGGGCCACTCAAAGGGAAAAGTTTCCTTGAAAAAGGAAATTACATTGCCCGGTAAGATAAAAGCATAAGTCATGGAGGTAAAACCGGTCAAAACAGAGAAGAAACTG